TGCAAAAGGGGTTTAAGAGAATAAACTATTCAAATAAAACCAAAAATAAATAAGATTTTTTTTTTAAACTTTTAGAAAATAAATATAAATATAAATATTTTAATTTTTAATTTCAAAATAAAAATTTCAATCGGATGTTTATCACCAGAAAAATTCTTTCACCAAGATAACTAAAAGTAAGCTAAATAAATATTCTATAAAGATAACCAAAGGTAAATAAGAGCACATAGAACATAAATAGTACATATATTAGATTTATAGTTGTATAGTCAAAATTAACATACATCCACTCCCCAAAGGTCCTCGCCTTTGATTATTACACTAAAAGTGACTATCCTTTAGTACATATCTAGGTGGAGAAGGCGCCCTTCTCCCTTGAACAGGCGAAGAATGATCTTTATGTTGCAACTCGAGCTTCCGAGTTTATGATTTTTATGATAACAAATAATATTGATTAATCTTTTATTTCTCCTAGTGTTTGTACTGCTTATTTGTTTGAGTGTTGACTAATACTTCAGATACACCATGCACCGTTATTTGAATATTCAAGACTCAAGATTGTGTAGAATTAGTTATATTAAATGAGTCTGTAATTTTGATTTCTTGAGTCAAGCCTTGTAATGATGTATGTTAGATTGATTACCGTGCACACTCATAGGGGGAGCAAAAAATGTTTTTAAATACTTTAATTTTTTTATAAATCATATTGTACGATCTGGTGTAACAGAACTTAATTAAAATAATTTATTTTCTAAAAAAATATTTTAAAAAAATATAACTAATCGTACAGTACGAACACCACATCATACTAGATGATCTGTTATAATTAGAAAGCATATTATCCATTAAATTAGGCAAAAAATTGAATTTAAAAGGTTGTTCTAATCGTATTGTACGAACATGATTGTACTGTACGATGTTTAAAATATGCCTAATTTAATCATGTGATTAGCCATCAAAATAGCTTAATTTTGATGTTTTGATCGTATTATATGAACTGGGTCGTACTGCACGATCAACGGAGACGATTTTGAATGTCCTATGCTTCATCGTGGATGAAATGTCCGTACAACACATTGTACTGGACATTGTACAGTACGAACAGGCAATTGAATTGTTCGTACAATACTAATTGATGATTGTACAATAATAACATGTCAATTTTTGCACATCGTACCGAACGATATTGCGATCGTACTGTACGATCTTTGATGGCTGAATTGAGTTTTTTTTTTAGGATTTTTTGAGCCCTCTATTTAAGCACACTCATAAGACTTTGTAAGTGTCTTTGACGTCTATTGAAGCTTCATTTTTATGGAAAAAACTTGAAGAGAGAACTTGTAAGGAAGAGAGGAAATGGATGAGTTTGAGAGAGGGATAAGATCCTTGGAGGGGATTTTAAGGGAGTGTGAAGGAGATTTCACATAGTAGCTCCGACGAGTTTGCACCTCAGTACCATTGGATTCTAGGTTTGTCTTGAGGGAAGTTTTGGGAAGAAGAAGATCTCTTTTGTGTCAAATGACCCGGCTCCTCCGTTGTACCGGGAAAGGTTGAAGTGATTTTCTAAGGGCTTCTCCGCCTAATTATGGGGGCCAAAGGAGAATCACTAAAGATTTAGTGTAATACTCGGAGGGTGCCTCTAGGGAGTGGACGTAGGTTAGGATTTGACCGAACCACTATAAATATGGTGTGTTCTTTCCTTTATTATTTTCGTACTCTATTTCCACATTCATTTTTTATTGTGATTAATTGTGATGTTGAAATTGATAATTTATCTTTTTATTATGATTTAATTTGCTTCCACATCAAGTTATAAAAAGATATTTATTTTCATTAAAGAATATTTTAAAATATCCAATTCACCCTCCTCTTGGCACATCTTATACTTTCACTTTACAGACTCCAAAGAGTCTCCCTCCTTCCATGATCCTAGCCTGACGGAGTTGTCCTTCCTCCTTTAACTCCTTTCTTCGACGGAGATGCCGATCCATCCTTTATCCTCTAAGCCCGACGAAGATATCAACCCTCATTTAGCTCATTGCTACGGCAGAGATGTCGATCCCTCCTTTTGCTTTCCAGCTCGGTGGAGACATCAATCCCTCCCTTCATCTCCCAGCCTGGTGAAGATACCAATCCTAAGCCTCCTGGACTAGTAAGTTTTTCACACCTAAGACTCTTCTCCCTGGAGCTCCACCAAAGTATAATAGAATAACCTAATGTACAAGCTAGTTGGAACAGTTATATGAACCATCTTACATCCCTTGACTCCCTCTCTCAACCTTACTTCCTCTCTCACCCTTATGAAGTGGACACTATCTAAGCTCTCTCCAATAAGAAAATGTCTTTAATTGCTTAAGCTCTCTTACCCCTTAAAATATATGAAGAGTTTATAAAGTGGACTCTTAAAAATCTTACTTTGTAAATTAAATACTTTGATTGTATAATATGAGTCAACAACAACAAGAACAAGCCTTTATCCCACTACGTGGGGTCGGCTACATGAATCCTTTTTCTCCGGTTGTGTCCTATTAAAGGTCAAATTCTCGTTTAAATCTATTAAAGAAAGGCCATTAATTCCTAATATTTTCTAACCAAGTCTTTTTAGGTCTGCCTCTACCTTTCTTAGCATAAGTCAAATCTAATACCTCTACTCTCCTAACCGGGTCATTAGAAGGCCGACGTTTTATGTGACCAAACCATCTAAGGCGACTCTCTCTAATCTTATTTTCTACTGGAGCTACTCCAACCTTTTCACGTATATGCTCATTTCGTATCCTATCTCTAAGGGTAAATCCACTCATCCACATGAGCATCCTCATCTCTGCCACACTTAACTTAGTATTATGCTTCTCTTTTAATGGCCAACATTCAGCACCATAAAGCATTGTAGGCCTCACTACCATCTTATAGAATTTTTCTTTAAGTATGAGGGGTACTTTTCTATCACACAACAAGCCCGATGCATTCCTCCACTTAAACCATCCAACTTGAATTCTGCTGATAATATCCCTATCTATTTCTCCATCACTATGAACAATAGATCCAAGATATCTAAAAAGTGTACTCTTATTAATGACTTGATCGCCCAAAGTCACAATCCCCTCACTAGGTCTATTACTACTAAAATTACAATCCATATATTCCGTTTTAGATCTACTCAAGCGAAAACCTTTAGTCTCTAATATTGACCTCCATAATTCAAGTTTACTTCAACTCCCTCTCTTGTCTTATCAACAAGAAGAATATCATCAGCAAAAAGCATACACCAAGGTACATCCTCTTGTAAATGTCTAGTGAGAACATCCAATACTAAAGCAAAAAGATATGGGCTAAAGGTTGATCCTTGATGTAACCCAATCGAAATAGGGAAATACTTGGTCAAACCACCTTGTGTTTGAACACAAGTAATAATTCATGCATACATATCTTTAATGATTTGAATAGGAGCATTATTAACTACTTTCTTTTCAAGAACTCTCCATAGCACTTCTCATGGAACTTTATCATATGCTTTTTCTAAATCAATAAATATCATATGTAGATCCTCCTTATTTTATCTATGTTTCTCCATCAAACCTCATAATAAATGTATGTCTTCCATAGTCAACCTACCCGGCATGAATCCAAATTGATTTTGATAAACATTAGTATAACGCCACACCCTATGTTCCAAAACTCGCTCCCATTGTTTTAAAGTATGACACATTAACTTAATTCATCTATAATTCACACAATCTTGTGCATCACTTTTATTCTTAAAAATAGGAATTAACACACTCATTCTCCACTCATCTGGCATCTTTTTAGTCTTCAAAATGATATTAAAAAGTTTAGAAAGCCAAAAAATTCCTTCATCTCCTAAGTATTTCCACACCTTTATTGGAATATCATCAGGTCCAACAGCTCAATTTTGTGAAGATCATCCTATATGATGCACAATCATACATTATTATTAGTTATATTGAATCACACATTGTTTAGCGAGTTTTCAGGTGAATCAGACTATACGATATGAATATCGTATAGTACGATCATAAATGATTGTTAGATCTAATTCAATTTCTTAATCCCCTAGACTAAATTAGGCAATTTTAATTACTATTTACAGTTTCATACAATACAAAATGATTTATACAAAAGCTAAAATATTATGATAGTCTAGACAATGACATATGATTTTTCTCTTAATATTTTTTACCTAGAAACTATGATTTCATTTGCAATATGTTTTTGTATGTGCTAGACCTTCGAACAAAAGCTAAATATTAAACTCTTACTATTATCATAAATAGCCTAGCATGTAACAAACATATTAAGGAATTAATTAATTTCTCTCCTTTTTGGCATAAAAATTTCAAATATAACAATAATCTAAAAAAAAAAAGATAGATAAATGAAGAAACTATATTTATAATTAAATGGTAATATGTTTTATAACTTTAAAATAATTGCACCATACACTTTAAAATTCAAGAACAACAAATGCCAAAACTTAAATTTATTTAGATAGCCTTCAATAAAAAATAAAATAAAATATTTGTACATTATATTAATGATACTCCCAAATTTATGTCTAACTCCACTTAAAACTTGCTTAGTTTATACTCTCTTAACACCAACTCTCCTTTCAAGCTTTCTTCCATGCAAAACTTTACCAAAATTAATCCTCACATCATTAAACCTTTAAATCATCCTCTCTTCATCCTTAAAAAAAATGCTCCTAAAATAAAAAGCCTAGTGGGTAAAGCCTACTTATCATACCTATCAATTATTATAAAAAAATAAAACATATAATAATTAACTATCTTATTATTTCACTAATGCTTTTTTTTTTCTCTCTCCTCAGACGGAAAGCGAATGCAGTACAAAATTTGAATCGGCTAAGTGCCCACATGCAGTCTGGATATCACCGTTACGTGACGTTAGCCTGTTTTGCACGCGGGGCCGGCCTCAATGCCGACCCACAGCCTACCGTCTCACGCGTGCTAGTCCAAGGCCAAATGGCCCAAATCTATTCTCGCCCTTGCCTTCTCGGCCTCGCTCCCAATTTTGTTTTCCTATTTTTTTGAATCCTTCCATTTTTTATGCTTTTCTCGCCGGCAGAGAGATCAGAGAAAGCGAGGCGGCGAAGAAGGGTTGGATCCGATCCAACAACCCCTAAGGCGAGTAAGAAGTCTTTCAGTGTGGTTCGCTGTAGGCAGGAGAAGAGTAGAAGATGTCGACGGAGGAGGAGAAGTTGTTGAAGGAGGCGAAGAAGCTTCCTTGGGATGAGCGACTGTTTCACAAGAACTGGAAAGTCAGAAACGAGGCCAACATTGACGTTGCTGCTGTCTGCGACTCCATTACGGATCCCAGGGATCCCCGTCTTAGAGAGTTTGGTAACTACGGATCTCTCTCTTTCTTGCTTCGATCTGGTTTTGAGTCCTGCTGGGCTTTTCGTTTCTTATAAAAATTGGCCTATGGTGACTTCTGGAGCCCGATCCCTGTAGTTGAGCGGTGCTGACAATGGATTGTATGTTAACTTTTTTGGTTTCCCAGTTATCAAAAGCTTTCTGGTTAAGTGATTTTCGAATAATTGGCAGAAGCCCTCACTTAAGGTTACTGCTGAAATTGTGCATTTTGCATTTACCAAAAGTAAGCAAAAAACTGCAAAAAAGCTTACAACTATGTATGATAAACCCTATCATTATCTTCCCTCAACATATGTAAAAAAGAAGAGGGTAGGTTACACTTATTCCTATCTTTCTAAAGAAAACTATTAACAAGAGCCAATGAGGCGCAAAAATGAGCTACCCTATTACTATCTCTAGGTATAAATTGGAAAATCACTTGCTTGAAGCTTGTCAAAAATGAGATATCATGCTCCAAATATTGCTGATCCAAGCTTTTCTTAATTGCCATAGAATTTTGCAACCATTTTGATTATTTGTCCTCCTATTTTTTTTGGAATTATTGGTCAGGTCCATTGTTTAAGAAGACATTGGCAGACTCGAATGCACCGGTACAGGAGAAGGCTTTGGATGCCTTAATTGCATTTTTGAAGGCTGCCGATGCTGATGCAGGAAGGTATTTTCATGTTATGATGATTTGCGTTGCCTATGATTCTAACTCCATTTTGAATTGGTAGACTATTGATTTGATTGCTGTAATGTAGGCATGCAAAGGAAGTCTGTGATGCCATTGTGGCTAAATGCCTTACAGGGCGGCCCAAGACTGTGGAGAAAGCTCAATTAGCTTTTTTATTGTGGGTTGAGTTGGAGGCAGCAGAGGCTTTTTTGGTTAGTGATTCATCAGTATTGTTGTCTTGATAGTCTTGATAAAAAAAATATACCTAGCTGCTTATTAGTAGCCAATTTCGTATGATTTATTTTATTTTAGATAGACAATCTATAACACTATTAGTCGAACAAGTGTGGTTCTTACACCATTCAATGATGGAAAGGCCATTATTTTTTTAATGTAGTGTTGATTTGTTTTTGGTAATTATTATGCTCTTCATTTTTGGATGTAGTACTTTATTTTCTTTAATGTGTATTAGATTTGGCTTGATGTTATTGTTATTACTTTATTTTCTTGAACCCCTAAAGGAAAAACTCCAATATGTTAAGTAGCCTTAGTTTGATTTGTGATAATTAGAAATATGGAACTTTTGTATATTGTACTTTCATATTGAGTGAGTGAAAAAGGTCTTACTTTTAGAGTTATACTATCTCAGTTTAGTTACACAACCATGTATAATTTTTATCAATCTAATTTATTCACTATATAACCTATATTTGATGGAACTAGTATAGGAAATATGCATTTATTGAGGTTAGTTGATGTGATGTTATACTCTGTGATAATGCATTGCTCCACCACAATTTTGAGTTTTTCATCATCGTTATTAGCTTTTTCATAATTATTTTGTTAGACTTTATAAATCCTCTTCAAATTTTCTTTTTATGTTTTACATGTGGTATCATAAGCCATTACGAAATGAGCATATACGTTAAAAAGTTGGAGTAGCTCCAATAGAATATAAGATTAGAGAGAGTCGCCTTAGATGGCTTGGTCACATAAAACGTCGGCCTTCCGATGACCTGGTTAGGAGAGTAGATGTTTTAGATTTGACTTATGTTAAGAAACGTAGAGGCAGACCTAAAAAGACTTGGTTAGAAAATATTAGGAATGACCTTTCTTTATTAGATTTAAACGAGACTTTGACTTTTAATAGGACACAATGGAGAAAATGGATTCATGCATCCGACCTCACGTAGTGGGATAAAGGCTTGATGTGGTGGTTGTTGTTGTTGTCATTAGCTTTTTCATAATTATTTTGTTAGATATAAATCCTCTTCAATTTTTCTTTTTTATGTGTTACATTCTATCAATCTAATTTTTTCACTATATAACCTATATTTGATGGAACTAGTGTAGGAAAAATGCATTCATTGAGCTTAGTTGATGTGATATTTTACTCTGTGATAATGCATTGCTCCACCACAATTTTGAGTTTTTCATCATCGTCATTAGCTTCTTCATAATTATTTTATTAGACTTTATAAATTCTCTTCAAATTTTCTTTTTATGTGTTACATGTGGTATCAAGTTTATTTTATGCTCGTTTTTTCATAGTTTTTTACTTGTTTGTTATGTGCTATTATTTTTTTTTTTCCATTATAATCCTTCCAAGATGATTCTTTCTTCTCACATTATTGGTGTATTTTCAGCCCCACATACATGCCCAAATCATCCATGTCTATGTTTCAATATTTTAACTTCAATAGGTTTTGCAGAATCTTCCTCTTATATAGTTGTTTCTTATTATTTTTACTAATTTACCACACAAATAGGTTAACTTTCTTATCTCCTTCACAATCAACTTTTCCTTTTGGTGATTCTTTGTTGTCCAACACTCAAAACTATATAGCATAGTTGGACTAATGGTTGTTCTATGGAATTTGGTTTTAGTCTATGATATTCTATTATAGCACAATACTCTTGAGGGATTTCTGCTTTCATAATGAAACCGGCTTTAATTTTTGAAGCTATTTTCTTACATAGATTTTCATTATTTAATGAAATTAATCCACAACACTTAACCCCATATTTAGATTTACTTGACCCTTTAACAATATTGACTCATAAAGTGATAACTTTAAATTGTTGAAATGTAAGGTTTAAGAAAGCTTGGCTCAATGTTTAAAGAGTTCATTTAGAAATTAATTGCACTTCGGATGGTTTCATTATTTGATTTATAAGAAGTTATAATGGTTTACTTATTAACTTTTAGTATCTAATCCTATAATTGCTTATAGATGTTAAGAGACTCATGTTCATTAGGACATAATTTTAAGCTTATCCATAATTTTCTAGTTTGGAATGGAGATGATCTAGAGCAATCTTTTTGTCATTGATATTTTAAAACAAGCGTGGAATTATGATTTAGAGGGGGAGAACTAGGCTAAAAAATCTTGCATCCTTTTATAAAATTTTATTTGAGTTGCTTGTAGTTTGACATTTGAAAGATTTGAATGATATGTGATGCTCAACTTAAATTTCCTTCCTTGAAAAGGCTAGCTATAATGGTGGTCACAATGAATCTAGGAATATTAAAATATTGATTGTTTACAAGCAACTAAACTAAAAGTTAAAAAATTCAACGACGTTGAGGGAATTTATAAGTTGTAAGTTATTGTATGTTGGGAAGGGTAATGATAAGATGGGTCCAGGATAGTTGTATATATGTTTGAAATATGAAATTGTTCATGTGAATGGAAATAATGATTTGATGATTTCTATTAAGATAACTATCATGATGACAATATAAATATGGTTATTGCTTTTGCTCATCTTTTATTATAAAATAGTTTCAAAAATCAATTTTGGGAAGATGTAGATGAAATGCTACTACGTATGCTTCGGGAAGAAAGTATTTATTTGAAGTGACTTAAATGAACATAGGGATTGATGTAGAACAGGAGGAGGTGGGGGAGATAATTTCAAAATCTGAAATTAATTGCAGATTTTGGTGGGAAAGATTTAACAATTTCAAATTTCAAATAAGAATAATAAAGGAGGGAAGAGGTAATTAATATTTCCTAATCTTAGCCGTAAATTAGGGAATAAATAATTAGAAAAGGGGAGAGAAGGTGGGTCAGCTAATGGAGGGAAGAGGGGAGCGGCCACATTCAACGTATGTGGATATTTGCATTGAATGTTGATTGATAACTTCAAATCTGAATTAATTTCAGATTTGTATCAATTGAGGATGCTTCCTAAAATAGATGTACTAATTAGGAAAGCATTTGAAATTTGGGTATGAGATTAATTAATCAATCAATTTCAGAATTGATTAATTAATTGAATAAAAAAACTTACCAAAATTAATGTAATTAATGAGGGTGGATTTGAAATTCAAATTAGATTAATTCAAAATTGTTAAATCTCTCACACCAAAATATGCAATTAATTTCATATTTTGAAATTATCTCCCCACCTCCTCCTGTTCTACATCAGTTTGGTACCAGAGCATGGTTGCCCGGGATGCGAACTCGACGGAGTAGAGCTCTTTTCCACCCCGGGAGAATGATGCAGACATCCGACGGTGGACGTTAATCAAAGGAAGAGACGAAGATCGAATGCCGAGATCACTCCATTTTATCTTAGTTTATTAATTATATTTTTTATTTTAATTATGCATTTTTCGTTTTTACCCTTATTTAAGAGTCTTGTCTTATGTAAGCCTAAGGGGCAAAGTTGTCTTTTTAGTTTCTTTTATTTTAAGGCCTATATATAGAGGTCATTGCTCTTGTATTAGAAGGATGGATTATGAAGAAAAGAAATTTGTTTTGCACTTTTGTTCTTTGGGAGGACGTTAGTGGGAATCCATATAGAGGGAATTGTGGTTTTCACCATACGCAGGATGAGTCTGAGCTCGTGGCTTGAAGTCTCTTGGTGAAGGGCAACGTATCACCCATCAGTCTTCGGAAGAGTCCAAGACTCGCAGTTCTATATTTTTTTTCTTTGTTTTGTTTTTCCTTATTTCCCTAAACTGTCACCTCCTCAAACCCTCCACTAAGGCGCCGATCTTCTCACCCCATCACCTCCACACCATCGACCTACACCAGCCCCTCCCTTCCTCCTCCCCCCCTGGCCGAAATCCAACAAGGCTCCACCCACTCGCCGACCACCTCTTTGCCTACTATCACTTCTCTCCAAAACTCATCTTTCCTTATTTAGGATGTCATTAATTTGGAAAGATTTCAAATTCTAATTAATCTAATTTGAATTTCAAATCCACCCTCATTAATTACATTACTTTTTGGAAGTTTCTTTATTCAATTAATTAATCAATTCTAAAATTGATTGATTAATTAATCCCATACTCAAATTTCAAACGCTTTCATAATTAATACATCTATTTTATGAAGCATCCTCAATTGATGCAAATCTGAAATTAATTCAGATTTGAAGTTATCAATCAACATTCAATGCAAATATCCACATACGTTGAATGTGGTAGCTCCCCTCTTCCCTTCATTGGCCGGCCCACCTTCTCTCCCCTTCTCTAATTATTTATTCCCTCATTTATGGCCTAAGATTAGGGAATATTAATTACCTCTTCCCTCCTTCATTCTTTTTTTTTTTTGTTTTTTGAGGGAAGTGGGAATAGGGAAGGAGGTGATGGGGGTGAGAGGATTGGCGCCTTGGTGGAGGGTTTGAGGAGGCGGTGGTTTAGGAAAATAAGGAAAAAAAAAGAAATAAAAAGAGATAGAACTACGAGCCTTGGACTCTTCCGAAGATTGACGGGTGATGTGTTGTCCTTCACCAAGGGACTTCAAGCCATGAGCTCGGACCCATCCTGCGGCCGATAGAAACCACAATTCCCTCAATAGGGATTCCCACAAACGTCCTCCCAAAGAACAAAATTGCAAAACAAATTTCTTTTCTTAATAATCCATCATTCTAATACAAGAGCAATGACCTCTATATATAGGCCTTAAAATAAACGAAACTAAAAAGACAACTTTGCCCATTGGGCTTACATAAGACAAAACTCTTAAATAAGGGTAAAAATGAAAAATGCATAATTAAAATAAAAAATATAATTAATAAACTAAGATAAAATGGAGTGATCTCGGCATTCGATCTTCGTCTCTTCCTTTGATTAACGTCCAACGTCGGATGTTCGCATCAGGGATTCTACTAAGATGGGCTATGAGATGATTCTTGATTGGTATTGAATAAGAGATAAAAATCTAATGGTAGAAGTTATATTTGATATCGTAATGGC